GGTTTCCTTATCTGTAAAAGGCCAACTGAAATCTACCTATGCCTTCCCTACATATTAGGGTATGTAACACCCCACTGTGATGGACAAGCCTACATTTCTAGTGGGTTAAGATGCAATAAAAGTTCATTCTTTGTGCCCAACACAGGCAATGCAGTGAGCAGAGGGCACTCGGTTGTTCTCTCCTGATGGCCCCGCCGGGTCTGGAGCCTCCATCTGGCCAGCAGAGGGCGCAGAAGGACTGACTGCCTGGGCCGCTTGGACGTGACCGCCTGGAAGTGGTGTACAGAGTTCCTGACAACGTTCCCGGCCAAAGCGAGCCCCGCGGCCCACTTGTGTGCAAGATAGCAGGAAAATGTCTGTGTGCTCCGAGGAGAACGCAAAGGCTGGTGAATGTACTGCCTTTCCTCTGCTGCTCTCTCCGCTGGGGGCAAGAATGACAGGACGTGAACATGCACACAAGGGCCCGGAACTCACGACCCCCCTCAGAGGCCCCCCCTACTCCTGCGCTTGCAGGATTTGGGGCACTAGCACAGCCCAGCCCACCCCTTGGGACCAGCACCCCCTCCGCAGTTCTGCTCTTTGCAGCAACATAGAGTACAAATATTGTTCCTTTTGTTTCTTTTTTCCCTTTGGATACATTTTTAATTACAAAAATAGACCTGATTGTCACCCAGACAGATGTTTGCTTGCTTCTGGGCCCATTGGGCCTCCTCTCAGAGCCTGGAACTCCCAGCCCCCAGCTCCTGGGGTGCCTTCCTCCAGGTGTGTCCCTGGCTCGGGCTGGGGGGATGCAGTCCTGCTCCTGGGATGTGCAGGTTTAATAAGCTACTAGGTACCATCCTTGATCAAATTCAGAGTGACAGACTTAGAGCAGGTCACCTCTCGCCTTCTAATGAAGCCAAGACAGAGGAGTCCCCACAGCACTGGGTTTGACTCTGTAATTAAGCTGGTAAAGTGGAAAAATAAAAGTAGGAAACCTAAGTGGAAACCAAACCAGAAAGCCAGGCAGCTTGGGAGTTCCGAGCCTGCTTCCTTCCAGCTGTGCGGCCTCCGCGGCTGACGCGGAGTCTCTGCTGATTTTCTCTAACACAGGATGATGGTAGCTACACCCTCTGAGGGGTGTCACCAGGGCCAATTAGTCCTGATGGTTGGAGTGTGGGTATCCAGGCGCCACTAGGTCACTACTCACTCTGGCCCTTTGCTCCTAGTCTCTGGGGAGGTGGTGGCACAGGGGCACGGAGCAGACTAGACTCTGCCTCTTTCTGCCCCCAGGCCAGTTGATATCAGCCCTGCTTGATGGGTTCGCAAGGCCTGGGGAGCCTTCTTCAGCTTCTCCTTGTTTTCCTAAGATGAAAATTGTGACATCTGTGCTTGTTGCAGGAAATTTGTAAATTGTGCGCAGAGAAGAATATGAAATTAACATAAATTGTCGCGTTTGGTTCTGCCAAGAGCCAAGAGTGGCTCTGGCCCCTCTCCTGGGTTAACACCCTGTTCTGTCCAGTTCGCCCCCCTCACTTCAGCTCTCTCTTCCTCAAGACCCAGAAGACCAGCCCTGCTCCCCCAGCTGCATCTGCACGATGTCACAGCATTTCATGGGGGTGGGGGTGTCTTGGGACTCAGAGGAAGGCTGGTTGGGGTTCAGGGGACCTCACCTTCCCTCCCTCCCAGATGTCTCTCTGGCTGGCTCACAGGCTCACCTGAGATAGGGGCTTAGAGCTCATGGGCTGCTGGACCCTCCAACAGGTGTCTGACAGTCCCCCTCCCGACCTGGGGGGCTCCCGGTTTCGGGAGGGGCTTCCTGCCTCATGGTAAGTGGGTCAAAAGGGAGGCAGCGGGAAATAATGGTCTCTCTTGGTCTGGCCTGGCTGGGGTGAAGCACTGTGTGTGTGTGTGTGTGTGTGTGTGCGCGCGCGCGCGTGTGTGTGTGTGTGTGCGTGTGCGCACGACCAAGGTCTGTACCAGGAAGGGCTGCAGGCGGGGGAGGGGCATGCTTCTTCACAGCCCCTTCCCCTGTGACCTCCGGCAGATCTTTCACTTTTACCCAGTACAACTGCCTCCAGCTAGCCTGGACAGGCAGATTCCGGGGCTGGAGTGGTCCGGCCCAAGGCTGAGAAGGGCTGGGACCCCCGACAGTGACATGATGGGCTCAGCCTCTGTTCCATCTACTGGGCAGGGTGGGCCTCCGCAGATAGCGGCTTCAGACTCCAGCTCCAGGGGGCTGGTGGGAGTCTCTCAAGGTGTCCCACACATGGTCCCTCGGGGAAAGAGTGGAGCTGACCCCTGTCCTCCCTCCCGACTCGAGGGCTTTAGGGCCAGCAGGTGTGTGAGGGCTCCAGGTGCGCGGAGCCCTCGAAAGGACACCAGCCCAGCAGCAGCAGGCCGCGCGGGGGCAGCCGAAGACCCCATCC